GGTAGTTACTAGTACTTTCTCCATTCTACAAAGAAGGAAACCGAGTTATAGTTCCCAACCATTATATCAAATACTTCCCTATTAAAAAAATAATAAGAACCTCAGGCAGGTGGTCATAGGACCTAGTCCCTTCATGGTTGCAAAAATTGTTACCACACAAAATTGGGGTTATCTTGCCCAATGCACATAAAAAAAGCCAATTATTACAGCATCAGCTTTTGGGAAAAGAAATCAGCTTTATTGCTAGATTGATCTGCAAGTAGACAACGGCATATTCTCAGATCTGTCTCCCCGATCCAGGACTTGGGGCAAAATTTATGGGATGAAGGGCAGGGCGGTCTGAAGTGTGGAGATAGGTGATTGGAGGTAAAGAGAAGTGAAGTAATTGATGATCTGAGCAAGTGTAGCCAAGCTTCATGCCTCTTTATAGGACACATATTCACAAAATGGCGGCCTTATCATGATCTGAGGGTGGAGTTTTTAGCTCCTTGACATCAAAAAAGTCACTTATCGAGCATTTGTGCAGGCCCAGTTGATGGGCTGGTGGTCTCAATTGGCCTGAAGTGGACAAGAGGGTCTCAGTTCCTGAAAAACCACTCTGTTGATAAGATGGGGTCAGTTGAACTGTTCCTAGAGGGCCTGTGGTTACAATGCTTCTGCACAGCAAAGGAAACCATCAACAAAATGAAAAGGCAACCTACCAAGTGGGATAAAATGTTTGCAAATCATATATCTGATAAGGTGTTAATATCCAAAATACATATAGAATTCATACAACTCAATAGCAAAAAAAATGAGCAATATGATTAAAAAATGGGCAGAGGATCTGAATAAACATTTTTCTAAAGAAGACATATAGATGGCCAATAGGTACATGAAAAGGTACTCAAAATCACTAACCATCAGGGAAATGCAAATCAAAACCACAATGAAATGTCACCTCATATGTGTTAGAATGGCTACTATCAAAAAGATAAGAAATAACAAGTGTTGGCAAGAATGTGGAGAAAAGGGAACCCTTGTACACTGTTGGTGGCAATGTAAATTGGTGCAGCCACTATGGAAAAGAGTATGGAGTTTTCTTCGAAATGTAAAAGTAGAACTACCATATGACCTAGGTATCCCACTACTGGGTATTTATCCAAAGAACTTGAAATCAACAATTCAAAGAGACTTATGCACCCTTATGTTCAGTGCAGTATTATTCACTATAGCCAAGAAGTGGAAGCAACCCAAGTGCCCACTGACTGAGGACTGGGTAGAGAAGATGTGGTATATATACACAATGGACTACTACTTAGCCGTTAAAAAAGACAAAATCGTTCCATTCGCAACAACATGGATGGACCTTGAGGGTATTATGTTAAGCAAAATAAGCCAGACAGAGAAAGACAAACACTATATGATTTCACTCATATGTGGAGATAAACTAACATATGGACAGAGACAACAGTTTGGTGGTTACCAGGTAGAAGAGAGTTGGGGGTGGGCACAAGGGGTGAAGGGGTGCATTTATATGGTGACTGACAAATAACAACGTACAACTGAAATTTCACAATGTTATAAACTATTATGACCTCAATAAAAAAAATTACCATTTTAACCTTTTTTTTTTTTTTTTTGGTGAGGAAGATTGGCCCTGAGATAACATCTGTGCCAATCTTCCTCTATTTTGTATGTGGGACGCTGCCACAGCATGGCTTGATGAGCAGTGTGTAGATCCTCAACTGGGATCTGAACTCTTGAACCCTGGGCTGCCGAAGTGGAGCACACAAACTTAACCACTATGCCACCGGGCTGGCCCCATCATTTTAACCATGTTTTGTTTTTTTTTTGGTGAGGAACATTAGCCCTGAGCTAACATCCATTGCCAATCCTCCTCTTTTGCTAAGGAAGATTGGCCCTGGGCTAACATCCATGCCCATCTTCCTCTATTTTATGTGGGACGCCTGCCACAGCATGGCTTGATAAGTGGTGTGTAGGTCTGTGCCCAGGATCCAAACCTGCAAACTCTGGGCTGCCGAAGTGGAGCACGTGAACTTAACCACTATGCCATCAGGCCAGCCCCCATTTTAACCATTTTTAAGTGTACAGTTCAGTAGTATTCAGTGCATTCATATTGTTGTGCAATTACCAACCAGTCATCTCTAGAACTTTTTCATTATCCCAGACTGAAACTCTATACCCATTAAACAATAAATCCTCATTCTTCTCTTCCCCCAGCCCCTGATAACCACTATTCTACTTCCTGCCTATGAATTTGACTATGCTAGATACCTCATATAAGTGGAATCATACAATATTTGTCCTTTTCTGAGTCTGCCTTATTTTACTTGGCATGTCTTCAAGTTTCATCCATGTTGCAGCATGTATCAGAATTTCCTTCTTTTTTATGGCTGACTAACATTTCATTATACCTACATACCACATTTTGTTTATCCATTCATCCATTCATTGACCCTTGGGTTGTTTCCACCTTTTGGCTATTGTGAATAATACTGCTATGAACATTGATATACAAATACCTGTTTGAGTCCTTGCTTTCAATTCTTTTGGGAATATACCCAAAAGTGGAATTGCTGGATCATATGGTAATTCTATTTTGTTGAGGAATTGCCATACTATTTTCCACAGCAGCTGCACCATTTTACATTCCCACCAGCAATGCACAAGGATTCCAATTTCTCCACATCCTCACCAACATTTGTTGTTTTCTGTAGTGCTTTCTTTTGTTTTGACAGCAGCCATCCTAATGGGTGTGAAGTGATATCTCATTGTGATTTTGATTTGCATTTCCCTAATTGTTAGTAACGTGTATTGTTGTCTTTTATCAATAGAAAACAACCCATTTTTTCCAATTTAATTATTTTTACTTTGAAATGATCTTTGTCTTACCTTCAAATGACTTTTGGTTTTAGGTCTGTTTTTGTAAACTGTAACGGCGGATATTTTAAAAATCATTTATTCAACACTTATTGAGCACAACTATTTGGTATGTACAGTGCCAGACAACGAGGATGCAGTTTGAAGAAGGGGTTTATAGTCAACGCTGGAAGACACGCTTTATGATTTAAAGGAACCATTTTAAAAGAAATAATGAGTGTCATGAAAAGGGAAGCACTAGGTTTATGCTTTTGTTTTTACCCAATGTGAGCGTCAGTTAAAAATACATCTTTTACAGGTTACAAAATTTAGCCACAGTTTTTTTTTAAATTCAAAAATGTGTACAATAGGGCCGGCCCCGTGCCTTAGCGGTTAAGTGCGTGCACTCTGATGCAGGCGGCCAGGGTTCAGATCCCGGCGCGCACAGACGCACTGCTTCTCCGGCCATGCTGAGGCCGCGTCCCACATACAGCAACTAGAAGAAAGTGCAACTATGACATACAACTATCCCCTGGGGCTTTAGGGGAAAAAAAAAAAAAAAAAAAAAGGTGTACAATAGATTTTAACAGTTCTCTCACCAACCAAGAATAAGCAGCAGCGGGCGGCTAGTCTTCCACATTTTTCAACACATACTCACTTTTCCTTCTTATCATCATTGTCCTTACAATTATGAATAAAAAGGTGCACGAGAAGATACGTGGTTAGATCTGATGTTGCAAGACACGGCTTCGGCCTGCTCGGCTCCTAGCATGACCGCTTTCTCTAGTCTTCCCGCCGTTGGCTCTTCTCGGACGCCGTAGAGGGCGTGCCGCGGCGACGTCTGGGAAATATAGTTCGAAAGGAAAAGCGCTGCGGGTCAGCCCGGGGACCCGCCGGCTCTCTCGTGCGCAGGCGCAATTGCGCCCGGCGACCTGGCGGCAGCGGGGAGAAATGTTCCAGCGGTAGGTGTTCCGCTTGCCTCGAGTGCGGTCCGCCTTGGGCCCAGGTGCAAGCTGCCGGTGAGGGCGGGCTCGGGGCGTGCGGCTCTTGCGGCGGGGCCCGGGCAGAGGGCCGGCCGGCGCGAGTCCAGCGGAGTCCGGTCTCGGCGCGTCCGAGCCTCGGCGGCCCGGCAGGTGACGGCGGCCAGGGAGGGGGCGTTGCCTGGGGAGGGGGGGGTCCCCCACCCCGTGGAGGCCGGAAGCCGGAGCTGCCCCCGGCTAACCCGGGGCTCGGGCCGGGCTCCTGGAGAAATGGCCCCAGAAGGGAGAGGCAGGAAGCCGCGTCTTGTTTCAGCGTTCGTGAACCTGGGGCGGTTTTCGGCTTGTCTCGTTTGTTGTTTTTTTTCCCCCTAGAGTTTAAACTTAAAATTATTTTATGTTTATCCGTTTTTGCCAGCCTTGTTTGTTTGGCATTGTTATCTTAGAGTGAATCCTAGAGTCATTTAACTATTTTCTTTTTTGTTTAGAGTAATTTTGTCTGCTTGCTAAGTTACTTCCTTTTTCTCTGAATTTTCCATTCGTTTCTAGCTAGTGACGCTGTTCCTTCTGTGTCTTGTATTTTTTGGAGGCGGGGGGCGGTAAGGGGGGTAGGTAATGTTTCCTTATTCATTTAAGGAGCTTTGAGAACTTCATAAAGGAAGCACAACTTCCAAAAGGAAGAGAAGACAGGACTAATTTTTGGTTGGCTATTCCTGAAAGGGACACCAATTCTTCAAATGCTATTTGAAGAATCATTATAATCGTAATTATAATTATTATAGGTTAAGATATCTAAATGCAGCTGTGTGGAATATTTGTCATTTCTCATTGATTTAACATCTCTCTGCGCCTGGTGTGACTGCTATTTACTCTGTTAATGCACCTTAGATGGTTCTAATCCCTTAGCTTGATTCATCTTTATTCATAAACCACTGGCTGAAAGGTAGCAGACTCAGTGACTGGAAGTAGCTTGTTGCCCGCTCCGTTGGCCATGCCCAGGGCTCCTCGAACAGGAGTGCCTCGGTTGTGCCGGTTTCCCTCTGGCTTCCCTCTGGAAGGTGCTCAGTGTGTGGAGATTTTAACCTCCTCTGGCCTAATGAGGGGAGAGCAGACAAGATGGAGAGACCTTACAGTTTATTTTTCCATTTCAGGCCTTCTCCAAGAGGGGCAACAGGGAAGGAGAAATGGCTACAAGGTTGTTGCCAGCCCAGGTTCAGGTGAGTGAAGGCTCCCTTGAACTGCCTTCCGGGTTCAGAGCTTCATGCATTGCTGGGCAGTGAAGCCGCTGGAGGGACCAGAGGGCCTGGGAAGTGAGGAACTCTGGAAGGAAGGTGTTTTCCTTGTCTCAGGGCCAGTTTCATTGTGAATTCTCCACCTAACAGTGAAGTACTTGTTGACTAGGAGTTGAATGGGTCCCCCAGCCCGGGGCCAGTGCCACACCCAGAGCTTTGTGAGGGATCCTGGTATGTTTCTGCCCTATGGAGGGCAGAGACATGGGGGAGTCAAATAATTCCTTCCGTTAACACTAGGAGTTCAAAGAGGAAAGGCATCGTCTTTACCCTCAAGGAGCTGAGGACCAGTCAACTAGAGTAGTACCTGGAAGGGTCCAGGTGATTTTCTAGGAAGATTCAAGAAAGAAGACCTCTGGGTCTGCAGGTGTGGTCAGGGATACTCCCTCGTACTGGGTGATTTTGGACTTACCAGCTGGACTGGGCTCATATAGATGGTGAAAAGAAAGGAAAATGCAACTTGGGCATTGGTTCGAGGGGACAGATTCAGGGAAGTGAGCCTTCCCTGAGGTGGGAAGCATCTGGGCAACAGTGATTTCTTCCCTCCTTTGCCCTTTCTTGGCACTTGAGGAAATATAATTAAAAACATAATCTTCTCCAATCCAGAAAACCTCTCCACAAAGGTGAAAGAGAAAGAAAACAATGTTATTATTTAATGTGTTAAGCCAGAATGTAATGTGCCTCATAGGCAATCTGCTAAAGAGATTGCCTAGACAGAAAGTTTACTCTTACATAGCTAAGTGGATACAACCCAGTTTTGCAATTTGGATATTTTTCAGGTGACAAGTTAGGCCCATCTCCTTCCAGGAAGCTGAGAGACTGGCACGTTCAGAGAGACTTAGCAGCTTCTTGAGGAAATGTTCTTGCATTGTGAGGCTGGCAAGTGACTTATTTAGCCATTAAAAAGATTTACATGCAGTTGGAAAGGACAGAGAAAGAAATTGAGAAAGAAAACAGTGGCGGGGGTGGGGCTGGGGTGGTGCACAGGGATGGGCTGGGAGTCTCCTGCCTTATTTCCAACAGCCTCTTGCTTTTAATGTCATGTTGGCTCTTACAGGTCAGAGAATATCCCTAGTCTTGTGACCTCCTTTCTGGGTTTTAGGGGATGGTAAAGAGAAAGCAAGCTGTGACTTTACACTTAACACCTCTAGGAAAGTGTCTGAAGGAAATAAGCTTTGCCCACTTTTCTGATGATGTGCAGGGGTGCTCAGTCCAGCGTTTCTAGAGTTATAAAAGTGGAAACTGAAATGCTCACCAGTAGATAAGTAAGCTGATTCATCTATATGATAAGATACTGGGCAGCAAATAAAAGATATTGAGTAGGGTACTGTTATCTGTATATATTTCATTTCTGTTTAAATCTAGAGCAATATTAACATGTAAGAAGTCTGAAAGGACATACTGCAAGGAGTGAACAAAACTTGTTTCTGGTGGTAGAAATTTAGATTAACATTTCTTTTTCTTTTGCTTATTGGTCTTTTCTATTTTTTTTAATTTTTTCCCCCCAAAGCCCCAGTAGATAGTTGTATGTCATAGCTGTACATCCTTCTAGTCGCTGTATGTGGGACGTGGCCTCAGCATGGCCAGACAAGCGGTGCGTCGGTGCGCGCCTGGGATCCGAACCCGGCTCGGCGGCAGCGGAGCGCGCGCACTTAACTGCTAAGCCACGGGGCCGGCCCCTTATTGGTCTTTTCTAAGTTACTTTTTTTAAAAAAAAAAAGATTCCGATAAGAAAAGAAAGGGGCCACTAGTTTAAAAGGGGCGACTTGTGATGCGGTGAAGCAAGAGAGAGGTAGAAGAGCAACGGCTTCTAGGGTGGAGAGGGAGAGTCCCAGCCTCAGCCTTCTTCCCTGGCTCTTGTTGGATGCAGCCACCACCCTGGGCCCTCTGCTGGCAGAGCCATGTTGGGGGCATTCTCTCTTACTGTGAATGTCAGTGTCCTCTTTTTTTTTTTTTTTTTTAAAGATTGTATTTATTTATTTTTTCCCCCCAAAGGCCCAGTAGATAGTTGTGTGTCATAGCTGCACATCCTTCTAGTTGCTGTATGTGGGACGCGGCCTCAGCATGGCCAGAGAAGCAGCGCGTCGGTGCGAGCCCGGGATCCGAACCCGGGTCGCCAGCAGTGGAGCGCGCTCACTTAACCACCAAGCCACGGGGCCGGCCCCTGTCAGTGTCCTCTTGCCGAGGACACAGATGGTGCAAGGTGATGACAGAATCCAAGCATACCTGTTCCTCCCTGAGTGAGTGTCCTGGAGCCTCCTAAAACCTGATTCTCATGTCTCACCTGTAAAACGAGGGCTTGGTCTAGGTGATTGTGCATTTTCATGTCTGAAGGTCTGTGTTTCCATCATCCTGATTTTGTTTAATGATTTCAAGTGCTTATCTTGTTGGGCTGCTGTGCTTCAGCTTTCTGAAGGTACCATACTTCACTCACAGTAGATATGTGAGAATATGTGCTCAGCAACTAGGAGGTGGTCAGGAGGTACTTGGCTTGAAATGCTCAGAACCCTGAGTGGTGACGGGGTTGCTGCTCAGACACCCTATTGGGGGGATGGTCCTGGGTTTGCCGTTACAGGAGTCAGTGACATTCAGGGATGTGGCTGTGTTCTTCAGCCAGGACGAGTGGCTGCGTCTGGACTCTGCGCAGAGAACCTTGTACCGGGAGGTGATGCTGGAGAACTACAGCACCCTGGTCTCGCTGGGTAAGGACCTTTCCTCCTCATACAGAATCTGCTGGGGGAGCATCTTGGCGCCCTCCAAGGAGGACATTTGGAGGGCTTGGCCAGGTGCAGCCTGCAGCTGGGCTCAGAGGGTGGTACTTGCTGTTCCCCTTGGCTACTGGTAAAGGTCTCAGCTTAGTCGAGTTGGTGCTGGGTGTCCTTTCTGTGCTGTTCCTGTCTCCTGCCCCCCACATTCTGTCCCCCTCGGTCTCACAGGAGATTCCAGAGTAGGGGAGTGCACAGCCAGAGCCATAACTTTCGTCCTGTTGCTACCTCCTGACCATCCTCCAGAAGCTCAATTTTAAGCCCCTCTCGGAACAAACCTCCCTCCTTCCTTCAACTGTCCCTCTGCCTTGGAGACCCTGGGGCTGGATCTGTGTACCAGGATGGCCACTCATGTCTGCGCCATGAACTCATTCTTTTTCTTGCCTTTGAACAGGGATTCTGTTTTCCAAACCAAAGGTTATCTTCCAGTTACAGCAAGGGGAGGACCCTTGGGTGGTGGAAAATGGAGTTTCTCAAGGCGCATGTCTAGGTGAGCAACAGTAACTGGGAATTGGCATAGCATTTTCTAACTGCCTGGGTGCTGCTGATCAGCGAGGAGCTTGGGCTCAGGAGACATTGACCAGTGCCCTCCTTGGTGTGCCAGCCAGATGGGAGATGCTGGGAAGGGCATATCCTCACTCTACCTTTTTAAGTACTTGATATGGCACATTCAGAGGGACAGTTGAATTTTGTCCTGTGTCCTTTGTTTTTTGTAAAGTAACACAGTATATAATGTGTAAAGTTTTGTGATTTATATCTTCTCCTTTTTTCTTGCTTTTACTGGGTTATTTTCTTAAAATTTTCCTTCTGTGGTTTGAACAAACCTTTTAACACTACAATACATCTCTCATTGTCCATCTTGGGTTGTTGCTTTGACTTTTTTTCTGCAAGTTTATTACACATGGTTCAGCTAAAAAGAAGAAGCAGACGCATGTGTATTTACATACTACACAAGAGACTGCAGGAGTAGCAAAATGGTAAAAAATCGAATTTCGGCAGAAGGTTTGCAGATGTTCAACACGCCATTCTCCTAAATCTTTTGTGTGAAAAATTTCAAAATCATATGTTCCAGACCCTGGCTGCTAGGACGTATCTCTTAGTCTCTAAAGCTCCTCTGGGTTGCTGCTTCAGTAAGCTCTCCTTTCCTGTTCTACTTTGAATTTTGCTTTTGTTTCTAGCACCAGAGAATGGCTCTCTCTTTTGAGATGCTACTTATCCAGAATTTATTTCTCTCGATGGCAGGAGACAGGCTTTCTGTTTTGGCTCAGTTTTGTGTTTCCATTCATGATCTCTGTCTTCAGATTTTTCCCTTTCATGTGACTAGAATATTTTCTTGAATAAGGTTTTCAGAAAGGCTCATTTGTGCTATATTTGTGCATGTCTAAAATCAATTATTTTTCCTGTCCTGTAGGAATTATGTTTTGGATCTAGAATTCTGGCATCAGTTTTTTTTTCCTCTTAGAATTGTTCAAACGTTGCTTCACTGTCTTTGGGCACTGAATGTTGTTGATATAAAGTCCTCTGTTAGTTTGATTCTTTTTCCTCTCTTTTCCTTATAGAAAACCTTTTTTTCCCTTTTTCTGTCTTCTGTCTGGAATATTATAGGATATCCTCTTTATCTTTGGAATTCAGAAGATTGATTAGGTTGTATTAAGGAGAATTTTTTAAAATATTGTTGTTTGGCATTAACAGGGCCCTTTGCTTTGAAGACCCAAGTCGTTTTCATTTCTGGGATCTTTTTTTCTATTATATAGTAACATATATTCTGCCACATTCCACCAACAATTCAAGGAAGCTGACTGCAAGAATAGTGATATAATAAAATAGAAATTCAGTCAGGACCTTAGAAAATAAATATATCTGTTGTAAGGACGAGAATGGTCCCCATGAATGAGTTTCAAATTTGGCTCTGAGCTTTCTGGTTGGTGAAAAAATCATTAATAGTGAATTGACTGAGTTCTTTTTTTTGTAGGCATTTAAGAAAATTAATTATTTTTAATTTGTACAAGATATACATGGTATTATAAAAAAGAGAGAGACAGAGGAACAAAAAATGATCCACCTGAAATTTTACCAACCATGATGAATCTTTGTTAACATTTTACTGTTTATCCTTTCAAACTGTGTGAATATTTATTTGCATATGTTTGTATATGAGAGAGACAGACACACAGACACGCACACACAGAAATAGAAACAGAGAGATTGATTATACATATTGTTCTGGAAACTGTTTTTAATTGTGAATGTCCTTCAGTTATTCAGCCCTCATTAAATAGAGGTCTGCCTTATTGAAAGAACTATTGTTAAGCCATATTTTGTTAAACAGTCTTCCTTTTGGAAATTTTAGTGTCCATTTTTTCTGTATTAATATTGCTGCAATAGCTGTGGAATACAAAGGCAAATAAAAAGAGAAAAAGGTCCAAAGAGTGAATAATTACAGCATGAGTATTTTGATTAAAAAGGCAAGGAATGTGAATTAAAAATTCACACAAGATTTTTTGAAAAACTATTCAACTTCATTTTAATCGATGAAATTCAAGCTAATGCAATGAGTAAATAATTACAGCATGAGTATTGTGATTAAAAAGGCAAGGAATGTGAATTACAAATTCACACAGGATTTTTTGAAAAACTATTCAACTTCATTATAATCGATGAAATTCAAGCTAACACAATGAGACACATTTTTTCCTTATTAAATCACCAAAGGTTAAGAAATTCATTTCCAGTGTTTCTCTACTGCTCTGAGTGGTAAGTAGTATCTTTGGTAGGATTTTGGTTGGTATCGTCTTTCTGGAGGATAGTCTGGCTTTATTCCAGGTTTAGAAATTTATCTTAAAATAATTCCATAATTGTGCAAAGTCACAAAGATGGTGTAAAAGAATGTCTGTTGTAACAGGCATTACTGGGGGAAAAGCAAGCTAAATGAGTCTCAGAAGGGGATTTATTGAATTAGGATGTGTTCATGCACTGAAATGTTGTGTAGCCATTAAAATGATATCAACCTACATGTATTGACATGGAGAGAAGCCTACAATTTTTTTTTTTTTTTAAAGATTTTATTTATTTATTTTTTTCCCCCCAAAGCACCAGTAGATAGTTGCATGTCATAGCTGCACATCCTTCTAGTTGCTGTATGTGGGACGCGGCCTCAGCCTGGCCAGAGAAGTGGTGCGTCAGTGCGCGCCCGGGATCCGAACCCTGGCCACCAGCGGCGGAGCGCACGCACTTAACCGCTAAGCCACGGGGCTGGCCCGCCTACAATTTTTTTTAAGTCAAGTGGGGGCAAGGGAAGCTTAGTTTCAACTAAGCTTAAGTAAAAGTGTTTTTTTACGTTCAGAAAAATTCTGGTGAGCTAAATTCCACATATAACAGTGATTATATTTACATAACGTGTTTATATGTGAACTGTATTTTCATTTTTATAGTTTTCTGTATTTTCTTAAAATGATTGAATATTTTCTTTTTAGTTAAAATAAAAGCTATTTCATAAAATACGTTTATTCCTTTTGAATCAGTGATTCCATTTCTTGCACTGTATCCGAAGTGATCAAAGGATGGACAGAAAATTATTCTCAAGAATGTATTCTTCTCCCAGTATTCCCCATATTACTGTATGGCACCAATCTGCATCAGGCTGCCCAAATGAAAAGCTAGGCATTCTCCTTGAGTCCTCTCACTTATTCTGTACACCTTATGCATAGGTGAACATACCTGGCATCTCCACCTCCAGAATACCCAGTGTGCCAATTTCCATTACCATGCCAGTGCAAACCATCATCACCTTCATCCAGGAAAATTGTGGCAGCCTCCTGATTGGCTGTTCTGCATTTGCTCTTGTTCTGTTTTCCTCCACCCCCAATTGTAGTCCATTTGTCAACAACCATAAACACAACAAACAATCTGTTTGATCCTTTTAAAACAAAACATCATGTCCCTGCTAACCCTTACTGATCCTTAGAAGAAATTCCAAACACGTTCCTGTATCTTAGAAGCCTCCACATGATGTTGCCTCTGCCCCCCTCTTTCCCTCACCTTGAAACACTCTTCCATTGTTCCTCCTGCTGAGGCCAGTTGGACTTCTTTATGTTCTTCAAACATAGAAAATTTATTCCTGCCTTATGGGCTTTGTGGTAGCTGTTCTTTCTAACTGGAATCATCTTTACACCCACATTTTTGCATGGCCAGCTGTTGTTATTTAGATCTCATCTTTAGTTTTATTTTCTTATCACCCAGTTTAAAATATCAGCTTGTCCACTCTTATTACACATCACCTTGTTTTTGTTTGTTTTCTTAGTTCTCATCATCCCTGGTACTTCTGTGTTTATTTGGTCGCTTGATTACTGTCAGGATCCTGCTATTAGAATGTAAACCTTGTGAAAATTGGACTCTTGTCTGGCATGTTCCCTGTGATCCTGAGTCTTGATTTTTGCATGGTGCATGGTGGGCACTCAGTAAATACAGCAGGAGTGAATCAATGACTGTCTGCCACAACATTATTTATAGCAAATGAGTGCCAGAACAGCACCAGTGGAGGCCCTGTGTTGCAGAGAGCTTTTTAGGTGCAATAGCTTTTCCACTTTTTATGTACAGCTTCTCTGCAGTTTTCTTGGATTTACCCTGAGTGCACTGGTGGCTGACGTGGGAGACAAAGCTGAGGAATGACACAACCTGCTGTGCTCAGAAATGCCCTGTTCCCTGCCGACCTGTGCTTTCTTACTAGATCTGACTCCACCTCCTCCTCCTCCTCCTGGAAGAGCTTCCCTCTGAGTTCCTCAGCCCACCTACACATAGGTTTCTTCAGACCCTTCCCACCCAGGCATATCTTCCATTCTGCTCTCTCTTGTCCTTTTTTTTTTGTGTGAAAAAGATCAGCCCTGTGCTAACATCTGCCAATTCTCTTTTTTTTGCTGAGGGAGACTGGCCCTGTGCTAACATCCAGGCCCATCTTCTTCCACTTTATATGGGACGCCGCCACAGCATGGCTTGCCAAGTGGTGCGTCGGCGTGTGCCTGGGATCCGAACTGGCGAACACTGGGCCACCAGAGCGGAGCACACGCGTACTTAACCGCTTGCACCACCAGGCCGGCCCTTCTCTTGTCCTTCGTTTCCCCATCATTTCCTAAGTCTCCCAGGATGTATTTGTTAGTTATCCTTGTATATTTTGATGTTACTTTTCTTTATTTCCATTGCAAGGGAGACTTACGTGTTTTGTTTATTTTAGGGTGGGAGAGCTTATTTGAAACCACAGTTTCCAAAGAAGAAAATCAGGAAATAATGAATAAACTCATAGGTGATGGTCCTTTTGACTTCAAGTTGGGAAAAACGTACATAAATGAGGACAAGCTAGAGAAGCAACAAGGTAAAAAGAACAAATCTTTCAGGAAAGTCTTAGTTACCATCAAAAAAACCTACATGAAAGAGAGGAGCTTTACAGGTATTGAACTTGGGAAAAATCTCGATCTAAAATCTCACCTTATTCGAAAACCCAGAATCGTTTCTAGAGGAAGGAAACCCCATTCACAGCAGTATTCAGTTCTGTTTAAACAACTGGGAGTCAACACAGTTCGTAAATGTTACAAATGTAATATCTGTGGGAAAATCTTCCTCCACAGTTCTTCCCTGAGTAAACATCAGAGAATCCATACTGGAGAGAAGCTCTATAAATGTAAGGAATGTAGGAAAGCTTTCAGCCAAAGCTCATCTCTAACTCAGCACCTGAGAGTTCATACTGGAGAGAAACCTTATATATGTAGTGAATGTGGAAAAGCCTTCAGTTTCACTACATCTCTCATTGGACATCAGAGAATGCATACTGGAGAGAGACCCTATAAATGTTATGAATGTGGGAAAACATTTAAAGGTAGTTCATCCCTTAATAATCACCGGCGGATTCATACTGGAGAAAAGCCATACAAGTGTAATGAATGTGGGAGAGCCTTTAGCCAGTGCTCATCTCTTATTCAACATCATAGAATTCACACTGGAGAGAAACCTTATGAATGCAGTCAGTGTGGGAAAGCCTTTACTTCAATATCACGGCTAAGTAGACACCATAGAATTCATACTGGAGAGAAGCCCTTTCATTGTAATGAGTGTGGAAAAGTATTCAGTTACCACTCAGCCCTTATTATACATCAGAGAATTCACACTGGTGAGAAACCTTATGCGTGTAAAGAATGTGGGAAAGCCTTCAGCCAAAGCTCAGCTCTTATACAACATCAAAGAATTCATACTGGAGAAAAACCATACAAATGTAACGAGTGTGGGAAAGCTTTCTCTTGGATTTCACGGCTTAATATACACAACAGAATCCATACTGGGGAGAAACCATATAATTGTAAAGAATGTGGAAAAGCCTTCAGTTCCCACTCAGCAGTTAATACTCATCGAAAAATCCATACTGGAGAGAAACCTTATAAATGTAGTGACTGTGAAAAAGCCTTCAACCAAAGCTCGGCTCTAATTCAGCACCAGAGAATTCATACTGGGGAGAAACCATTTAACTGTAAAGTATGTGGGAAAGCTTTCAGACAGAGTTCATCCCTTATGACACACATGAGAATTCATACGGGAGAAAAACCTTATAAATGTAGAGAATGTGGGAAAGCTTTTAGTCAGAGCTCATCCCTAACTAATCATCAGAGGACTCATAGTGGAGAAAAACTATAAATCAAATGCATGTGGAAAATCTTCCAACTGAAGTTCATTCCCTACTGAATATCAAAGAATTCATCCTGGGGAGAAAATGATAAAAAATAGTTAATTGTGGGTTAGGCTTCAGAACTTAGACCTCATCAAACATCCAAGATTTCATGATGCCAGATAACCTTAGGAATATTAGGAACACTTCCATAAAATGTTTTTTTATATGTTCTTAAGTTATTACTGACTATGAAATAGAGAATTTGTAAGATCAAAAGGCTGGTATTTTATCTTTTTTCTGGTGATGTCTGACAACAGCCACCAGCTGTCAGAAGCATCATTGGGAAACGTTGATTTATGTAAAAGTGTAGCCATAAAATCCAGACTTCAGATTAACCTGGGAATCTATTTTTTGAAACTACATTTAAGTGTTATACAAGCCAGTTGTACTAAGGAGAATGTTTTGGAGAAGAAATGTAAGCAGGTGACCTGTAGCTACCTCACTGTCACTAAAATTTGTTTTTGTAATAGTTTAAAAGCAAATTGTGTACTTGGTCGTTGCTAAAACTTTTGGCTTGTTTCTCCTTTGCTTTCTAAGCCATTCACCTGAAAAGAAAATCACTCTGTAAACTATGCAGCTATAAGTCCTGTGAGTTTTCTCCATGACCACTTGTTCCAAACTCTGAATCAGATCTAAAGTTGCTTTATTTTAAATCACAACATGCATGGTATTTCACTTGTTTTTCTCATCAAGTGATCACCTTTGCTGTTTTAAGTTGAGAATTAAAGGTTATTCAGACAACTACTGCTTTTGCAAGTTTATTTACTGATAAGTATTGTTTAAAGTTATCTTACAATGTGTAGCCATAGGGAGCATGACTCTTGGCTCCCAGGCTGTGCCTGCTTACTTGAGCTGTCTGGGTACCAGCCACTTCGAAGGCCCAGGAACAGTGTGGAACTCAGGTCATCCTCCCTGCAGGTAAAGTGAACAAGTGATTTTCACCCTGACGTTCTACCTTCACCTCCATCAGATCATCCCCATTCCCTCCCCACACTCTGAAGGCCACTAGGCAAAAGTTCAGGCTTTAAGTTCAGATGCTTTTTCTCCAAAAAATGGGCTGTTATATCCTTTAACAAGTTATTTAGCCTAGTTCAGCATTTCTAAACTGTGAATAATAAGTTGAGCAAGTCAAAAACAGTTATCTCAGAAGTTAAAGTAAAATTGTTGAACTTTACAGAGGTCAACATCATCTAGTTTGCCCAGTTTATCAGGAGTAGGCAAGCACTTACAGACTGAAACACTTATTTCATTTTAAACAGTTTTCATTTCTTTCTCTTTGATGAGAGAGAGAAAAAAAAAACTTTAAAAGTTAAAAAAAAAAACTCAGAAAAGGTGATGTTGGGGGTGGAGACTAAGCAAAGCAAAAATCATTCATTCATCTTTTGCTTCCTAGAATTAATCGATCTCATTGTTTCAGACTTGTGAGGAACAGACTTTTCTAGGTTATTTAATGCTCCATCTGCAATGCCTCTTTCCCCACAACCATTCTTTAAATTTTCTAATTCCTGGGAAAATTCCTAGGAGAAGATAACATACCTGTCTATTTGGGCTGCTATAACAAAAGATTGCAGACTGAGTGGCTTATAAACAACAGAAATTTACTTCTCAGAGTTTGGAATGCTGGGACGTCAAGATCAAGGCACCAGCATGGTTGTGTCTGGTGAGAGGGCTCTTCCTGCTTTGTAGCTGGTACCTTCTCGCTGTGTCCTCACATGGTGGAAGGGGTGATAGAGCTCTCTGGGGCCTCTTCTAAGTGCACTAATCTCACTCATGAGGGTTCTGCCTTCATGACTTAATCACCTCCCAAAGGCCACATTTCTAAATACCATCACATTGGGGGTTATGTTTCAACATATGAATTTTGGAGGGACACAAACATTTCAGACCATAGCATTCTCCAAGTATCAATAGTCCTAAAATTATCAAAAAACTTAAATCTGAATAAAATCACACAAAATATTAGCCCCAGTTATTTTTAAGGTGAGGTCTATCAAACTTGCAAGTAACATCATTTAAGTCTTATGTAAGATCTTCCCAAGGAGGTAATGTATAAGCACAATGATTCTAATATACCAGTACCCAAATCAGACAAGGCAAGTACAAGAAAGGAAGATTGCAGGCCAATATCCATAAACCAAAATGTAGAAGTCCTGAACAAAGCATTAGCAAATGGAATCCAAAAATACCTAAACATAGTTAATACATTGCAAGACAGATTTTTCATAGGAATGCACAGGTTATTTAACATTAGAAAACTTACCGATGCTGTGTACCATCTTAATAGATTAATGGAGAAAAATCCATATGCTTATCTCAATAAATGCAGAAAAAGCAACCAAAATACTCAGCCCCTACTCACGATACAAACTCTGAGCCAAGCAGTAGTAAGAAGGAACTTCCTAACCAGGTGAAAGGGTATTTACCAAAAACCCGCTGAAAAAATGGTAAAATGTTAGAGGTATTCATGACAGACAAGTATGGAGAAAGAATGAACTATTCAATAATGGCTTTAAGAAACAGAAATTGGTTCATCCACATAGAAGAAAATTGGATGCCTGCCCTTACCATACAAGAATTATATGAAAGGCAAAACTATGACTTTTGGAAGAATAGGGGAAGATTTCTTAAACAGGATACAAATAAGCTATATAAAATTTTTTAATATTATTTGTTCACATTAAAGAATTTCTGCTTATCAAAATAGACCAAAAAGGAAGTAAAAAGTCAAGACACAAAATAGAAGGAAATCTTTTCATAACATTACCAACATGCTATCATCTGGAAAATTTAAATAATTTGTACAAATCAATTATAAAAAGACAACCTAATAGCAAAAAGTAGTCTGAATACATGATTACTTATTTCACAGAAGAGGAAATACAAATTCCCAAAAAGATGAGAAGATGCTCAACTTCATTAGTAGTTTAAAAATGCAATTAGGACCACAGGTATGATTTTACAAGTACAGGTAGACAAAAACTAAGATGTGTGACAATACTGAATTTTGGAATGTATGTAGAATAACTGGCACTCATACTTTACTAGTGGGAGTATAAATTGATACAGATCATTGACACCTTGTAAAGTTGAACATGTACATACTGTAAAACACAGAAGTTCCACTCCTACATATATATGCTAGATGAATGTTTGCATATGAGCACCAAGAGTCATGTCTAAAGTTGCTTAGTAGCAGTGATCATAAGAGCAAATATTAGCAAGTAGTCTTAATGTCCATTAATAGGAGAATGGATAAATTTTAGAAAACACAGTAGAACAGCAATGAAAACGAATGAACCAAAGCTATATGCAAAACAGATGAATTTTGAAACACACTAATGTTTTAAAAAGCCATAGGAAACTACATATGGTGTGATACCATTTTTTGCAAAATTAAATTTATATTAATAATGATATACAAACATGGTAAAGATAATAAAAACAGCAAGTGATTGAGAAGGCATTCTAGTTATCCATTGCTGTGTAACAACTCATCTGAAAATTAATGGCTTAAAACAACAATTTATTAGTATCTGTCTTGGTTCCATGTTTGGGCTCAGCTTGGCAATTCTTGGCGTATCTAATGCATTTGCAATCAAATGGCAGCTGGGGCTGAAGGCTCAACTGGCCTGATGTCCAAGATCACTGGCAGTTGGTGATGACCCCTGGCTGAGAGCTCAGTTGGGCTTCTGTATGTGGCTTGGGCTTCTTACAGAAGAGTGGCTGATTTCTGAGAAGGAGTGTCCCAAGAGTGAGCATTTTACAAGATCTACGTAGAAGTTGCAAATCTTATAACTGAGCTTTGGAAGTCACACAACATTAATTCTGCTGTATTCTATTGGTTAAAAATGATTCACAGATTTGGCCCAGATTCTAGGGGAGAAGGGTATACAAGTGTGTGAATACCAGGCTGCATGGTTCATTGGGGGATGGTCTTTGGAGACTAGCTACCATCTAAACACAAAAGTCAGGATGGTGATTATCTCTGGGTGTGAGGCAAGGGAATGACTTGGGGAGGAGCATAGAGTTCCTCAGCTCGCTTGATGCCTGAAAGAGTCTCCCTTGTCAGGAAGAGGCTGCCCAGGCCAGCCAGAATGATGATCAGTATGTAGGCCAGTGTGTATATCAGTAAAAATAATTAAACAGAATTTTTTGACCCAACTCAGTGCTGAGATCTTAATGCCTGATCACCCTGGATAAAGTGAACATCAAGTTTAAGATGTAATGACTTCAGCGTTTGTACCCAAGGGCCATCCCCAAGGTCATAACGTTCTTCAGGCCACTATTGGATTTAAATGTGTCTCATTAACAAAACTATCAACACTTCCTTCTCCTGTCTGTACCTTTTCTTCTCATTCATCTGCCTAGATCACCAGAGGAAGAGAATATTGGTTCCTATCCCAAGTAAGGAAACACATAGTAAACCAAAATATGCATATCATAAGAGAACTAGGCAAAGAAAGAATTAACAATCATCACTAAATTGTCAACAGATTTTCTTTGCCTTTGTTGTTAGTGCTGTCAAGTAGATTAAGCTCCCCTGTAACCTGTCCACTATGGGTGACCCTGCTAGTATTTGAAATCCTGGTGGCATAGCTTTCAGCATCACAGCAACACACAGCTGTCACAGTATGACAACTGACAGATGGTGTGGTTCCCTGACCAGAAATGAACCCGGGCCTAAGTAGTGAGTGCTGCTTCTTAACCACTAGATCACCAGGGCTGGCTTTTCTTTGCCTAATTTCTCTTATTCTCAAAGAGACTTGTTCAGAATCTAGACAAAAGAGAAAAATGTCCATTTTCATAGAGTTTCTTAATAAGCCATTTTCAAAGCAACCTGAAAAAGCAAAATGTGCTTTAACTTTTATCATATGGTTGACAAGCTTGATATATTGTATTTATAGTATTCAAAGTAATGAAATTATTTAAAATGTCTATCTTTTCAGGTGGTTTGGGCTGTTGTCCTATTGGCTGTTGCATTATCAAACAGATGTTTTC